TTGCAACGCAGAAGGAAAAAAGACTTGAAGACGTGTTACCTCGATTATGTAGCTAGCTCTTATGTAGCTCTATCCATACATGCAAGAAATTCCTCAATCTCCAACAAATTTATCTTAGGATTTTCTCTTTCAAAAAAGAGTAGTAACCTAAAGAGCGCAAGTCTTCGAGGAGCCGGGATGAGATAGATTCGAGACAATCAATGTTAGTTTTCATAGGAGTAGAACAAAAGCCTAAATCCATCAAAAGGTTAAGAAGAACAAGCCATCGGGTCCCCAAGCACCTCAACCTTTGTTTGAATATGTTCATTCAAAAGGTTATCTAGCAGCTCCTGGTTATGTAAGGTTGATTCAAAACGTCTAAATCCATCTCCTTATGTTCGTCTCACAAAACTGACACTTTTCTGGACAGAAGAGGCATACGGCGGAAATAGTAGTTCTTGTCAAGAAGCCTTAACACACACCAAGGCATTATAGCCTTTCTGTTCCTCTTAAAGCAAAATGTGTTGGACTCAAAGTCCACGCTCGTTTGAGTCAACAATTTTTAACCTAGTGTAAAGAAGTAAAAGTAGTAAGTAAATGACACCAGAGATTTTTATAGTAGCTCAAGGAATAACGTGTTCCTCTAATCCACTGTTCCACTAATCTCTTTGTAAATATTACAATGCTCAGTTACCTAGCACTTAAGAAGCACTTCCTGTGTTCTTCAAGTGTAGTGTCGTTGTCATCGTGGATGCAATCACCGAGCTTGCTTGAAGTATCACTACTTCATTCTATTTACTTTAATTTGGTGCCCTTCTTTTTCAAGAAACAAACTTATTTGTGTATATAATTTAGCTATTGAGTCTTGCAATTACATAGCCCATTCAGAATTTATTATGTACTTATTTAATAAATAATAGGAAAGTGGTATGTCACTTTCCTAACTGTCAGCTCTCAATCTCGTGTACTGTTTGAGATAACACATGGATATTCGTATGTATCCCAAACTGGTTGAGCTGATCGGTAAGTTTGGCTGAGCATTCCATTGTGTCCTTACATTCTCGATCAGAGAGAAGGCAGAACCATTGATATCATTCTAGTATTGAATTCAAGCATAATCTCTTCTCTATTCTTATTTTCTATATCTGATTGTTGGATAAATAGGAACTTTCAATTAGTATCAGAGTGATACGTGTATTGATTGAACTACCCGCAACTTTTCTAGACTCCATTTTTATGAACAATACCATGTTCCTAAAACTCACCTCACCATTAAATCTTCAACATTTTGCAAACTTTCTGTTTGCAAACTCTCACTTTGAGGTGTTGTATCCGACTGGTATAAGCCTGAAGGTGTGAATGTAAAGTTTTTGAAGGAATTTGAATTTTCGTAAAAGTGCAAAGCTATTTAGTATTTGATTCATGTCGTTTGTTCTATCCATTGTTTGGACTGGATTTCTTGATAAGAATTGTAGTTTTTAAAGATACGAATCTACATAATTTTGAATCATCTAATTTGATTATGCCAACCAGAAGTTAAGAAATTTACAAAAATGATGTTTTCGTAAAAAGATGAGTTTTCGTAGAACTTTGCTTTTCGTAAAACTTTGTTATTCGCGAAACTCTTTTTGCGTAAAACTTAATTTTTTTTTCCCGTAAAACTGGGTTTTTGTAAAAGTGAGTTTTCGTAAAATTTGAAGTTTTCGTATAAAATATGTTTGAATCTGTTCATTCAAGAGGTTATCTAGCAACTCCTGGTTACATAAGGTTGATTCAAAACATCTAAATCCATCTCCTCACCAACTTTCGGAAATTATCAATGTACTTTCTACCAAACGAATAAATTTTCCAAACTTGTTTTCATTCAAAGATCGGAGAAACCTTTTAGATTGTCCATATCGCTTGTAATTGTAAGCCCAAGTGAATATGAATAAATTAATTTACAAAAATACTTCGACTTGATTTGGCTTATACGCATACCAGGAGGCAGGAGCCTCTAAAGCAATTTTAAAGGTTTTGCTTTCAATATTGATAGGGAAAGCCGTACTGCTACCGGTTGAATATTTCGGCTGATGTGAAGCAATTATTTCCGGATGAACATTTTGGCTCACCCCCAAGCCTCTGATTCAGTTCACCCCATTGGGAGTCGCCTAGCCCTGTGTTCCATCCCCCATATTCTAAGGACTTACTCCCTCCGTCTCAAAAACAACTTCCCACTTTCCTTAAATGGATGTCCCAAAATTAACTTCATACTTCAATACTTTTCTTATTTGGCAAATTATCTACATCAAAAAAGTGATAAACAGTGTCAAACAGTGTTTAAACAGTGCCAAACAGTGTTTAAACAGTGCTAAACAGTGCACTCTACAGTAAAATCAAATTTATTTCCTAAAAGTGTGTGAAAGTCCAACCGGGAAGTTGTTTTCGGGACGGAGGGAGTATATTCTAAACGTTTCTCACACACTGAGGAGATAATATTAGAAACTATCATACCATGTCAGACAAGACATATATACATCATACCAAAAAGATCTGCAACACATGATATTACACCTCAACCAAGATGATATTAGACACACCCACCATGCAAGACCTAAACATCTCAACATATAAAAAACATTTCTAGAAATAAACCTTAATTCCAAATAAAAGTTCAAGTTTGGCTTACCAAAGTCAAGCTTTTAAGGCTGGTCTGCAACTGCTTAAAAAAAGCACTTCTCGGTTTTTTGCTTAAAAACACTTATTACCAGATACTACCAATTTTTATTTTTCTCAGCATTCGTGTGAAAAGTGTTTTTCCCCTTTTTATTACACAAAAAGCACTTATTTCACCAAACACTACCAACTTTTACTTTTCAAAATCATTTTTCTCCCAAACACTATCAACTTTTACTACTACTCACATTTTCCAAATCATTCCAAAAGTGTCTTTTTTAAGCAGAAGCAGTTGCAAACACTCACTTAAAAAGGCGAATCTACAGAACTTTGAATGATCTAAATTGGTTTAAGTCAATCAAAAGTTACTAAATTTATAAAACTGAAGTTTTCATATAAAAAACCGTTTTCCAGAAACTTTGTTTGTTGTAAAATTTTGTTTTTTCATAATTTTCAAGTAAGCCACAGGCTCCAAGGAGTATAAAATGGGACAAATGGGAGTCTTGGGCGACATTGTTCTATTGCCAAAAATCTTAAGGAGCCCAATATGACTTCCTTATGGAGTCATATGGGGTATTGTGGCACCATCATTACCATTCATTTATTTAGTGGAGGACTCCACAAAATAAATGAATGGTGATTGTGGTTCCACAATACAACGAGTAGATTTATAGAACACCATTCATTTATAGAACACCTTATGGAGTCATATGGTGTTCTATAAATCTACTCGTTCTATTGCTTTAACCAAAAAAATTACTCTCTCCGTTCCTAAAAATTCTTCCCGGTTTGAATTGGCACGCCTATTAAGAAAGTGGAATAAAGTGGAAATGTGTGGTTGTGGTTGTGTGAGAAAAAAGTAAAATGAATGTGAACCACACAAATTGTCCAAAAAGGGAAAGTGGGAAGAATTTTTGGGAACGGCCCAAAAAGGAAAGTGAGAAGTATTTTTGGGAACGGAGGGAGTATAAAGTAGTGTAAGTTATCGATAAATCAATCGAACCCGAACTACTGATAACTGAACTGGCCAACATCTATTGAAAACTGATCAAGTCATTGTTGATTCGATTCACGTTTTGAGGCCAAGCATGAAAACCCGATTGAATCGACTAAAGCCTTCTAAAACTGACAAAGCATACCAAAATCGAACGAACTAATTGAAAATGACCAAACCAAAATCAATCGAAACCAACTAAATGTACTTAGTTCTATTTACAAATTACAAGTTCACCTTTCAAAATTGAACCAGTTTAAAACAAATTGGTGAAACGGAAAACCGATAAATCCCAAATAATTCATACTTCATGCATATTTAAAAGTTCACTACAATAGTTTAGACACAATACTTGAAGATAAAATAGTAGGAATAATTAATAATATAGAAAAAATAGGAGAGGGGATAAGAAATATGTAAGAGAAGGTAAAAATAAAAAACAAAGAGTAATTAATTATTTCTAAAGAAAAAACTTACAAAAAAGGGAACATCTAACATACTTTTTTAGTCCCGAAAAGGTTGGCTAAATTTCCTTTTTTGAATGTCTCAAAAAGATTTGTCATTTCCATTTACATTAAGGAATGTGTGATTAAAGTTAATTTTTTCTCCCCTGCACTAATTTCAAACACGCAGTTTTTACTTTATTAATTCACGTGAAAGTTAACTTTGGTCAACCTTTTCGCGACGAAAAGATCATAAGATATCATTACATATAATCCATGTATGATTAAAATAAATATTGTTTGCAAAAATGTGACTAATAACTAGAATAATAGTAATATCATAGTAACTTATGTTTAACTTTTGAATTAACATGAGTAACTTTTAATCATATTTTTTGTAAATAAATTTTATTTTAGTAATATTTTTTTACTAAAACTCAACTTTTAAATACATTGATAAAATGAAAATGTAACTAACTTTTTAAAAACGATCAAAAAAAAAACTAACTTTTAAAATGAAAAGGGAAAACTATCAATCAGGTCCTACTTTCATGAAAAAGTCAATTAAGTCTTCATACTTTTAAAAAGATCAATCAAGTCCCCGAACTTTGTAAAACGTTCAATTGAGTCCATTTGCAGGTTAGTTGTCATGTCAGCAGGTTGCCCGCTGACGTGGGGCGCATGTGGCAGCCTAATTAGCAATAATTTTACTGACGTGCCACATATGTGGAAGCCCAATCAGGCATTTGTTGATGACAATTAGCCTGCAAATGGACTCAATTGAACGTTTTTACAAAGTTCGGGGACTTGATTGATCTTTGTAAAAGTACGAGGACCTAGTTGACTTTTTCATGAAAGTACGAGAACCAAATTGACAGTTTTTCCAAATGAAAATTCACATTGTTTTCCATGGCTTCTATTGGTGAAGACGACAAATAGTGAAATAGAGTGGTGGACTGGTGGCTAAAACACAGTTCAGAAGATTCGGGACGAAAGAGGAGGAAGGAAACCGTGGAATCAGGAACCATGGATGAGGAATTCTTCTTTACGCTTACAAATCTGCTCAACCTCCAAAACCACCTCGACCCCACCACCTCCCTCCTCTCCGACTCCATCTACACCGCCTCGCCGACCTCCCTCCTCACCACCAACTCCGCCGCCCCTCTTCTCTTATTCGCCGTCGCCACCGTCATCCCCTGCATTGCCTCTCGCCTTCCCAACGACAAAAAGCGCAAAACCCCTTCCTCCGCCGCGTGCTCCGTCGCCGCCTTCCGCGCTCTCTCCACTGAACACATATGGGCCATGGAAGCTCCTCTGCGTGACGCGCAATGGCGGTCTCTTTACGGCCTCTCTTACCCTGTCTTCAACACCGTCGTCGATAAACTCAAACCCTACATCGCCCAATCCCAAATCTCCCTCCCTTCCGATTACGCCGTCGCGATGGTTCTCTCGAGGCTCTCCAATGGGCTTTCTGCTAAAACCCTAGCGTCCCGTTACGGTCTAGAACCCTACCTGGTTTGCAAAATCACCAACATGGTCACCCGCCTACTGGCCACCAAGCTTTACCCGGAGTTTATTCAAATCCCCGTGAGCCGCCGCCGTGTGGTGGAAACCACCCAGGGTTTTCAAGAACTGACATCCCTCCCAAACATTTGCGGCGCCATCCACGGAACCCCCATACGGCTTCATCACCTTCCTTCAGACACCATAAACTCCTCCATGTACTTCTGTAAACACGGGTTCCCTGCCATTCTCCTCCAGGTCGTGGCAGACCACAAGAAGGTTTTCTGGGACGCTTGCGTGAAAGCCCCGGGTGGGTTCGACGATGCCACACATTTCAGGGATAGCTTATTGTACAACCGGCTGATCTCCGAAGACATAGTTTGGGACAGGACAGTACACATCAGAGGGCAGGCAGTGAAGCCCCACCTGGTGGGTGACTGGAAATTCCCATTGCTGTCATTTTTACTCACCCCATTCTCTCGTTACAGGACTGGGGGTCCTGCACAGAACACGTTCGATGAGGCATTGGTGAAGGGGAGGAAGACAGTGGAGGAAGCCATTGGTTTGTTGAAGGCAAGGTGGAAGATTCTCCAAGACTTGAATGTGGATATTAGACACGCCCCTCAAACAGTTGTTGCCTGCTGTGTGTTGCACAATTTGTGTCAGATTGCAAGGGAACCCGAGCCGGAGGCCTGGAAGGATCCGGAAGAGATCGGTTTACCGCCGAAGGTATTGGATAACGAGAAGTCTTCCTATTATGATGGGGATAGCGCGAGGCAAGCACTGGCAGATGATTTGTACCACAGGCTATCATCCAGATGAGGAATGTGATTAGAAGTGTGGATATGATGGTTGTTTTAGCTTATCTGACCATATTTTGTGCAAAATTATATCAAACTTTTTTGTGAAATGGAGCTCCATTTTTTGCTCAGTAGTGTAGTTATTAAGTAATATAAAAAAAGAGCTCCATCTCTTTTTGCTTCTGGTAATGTTTAACGCAGTATTTATCTATTGAGCTGCCCACTATTATTGTGTATGAAGTACTACTAACAAGTCTGTATAAAGCCTAAAATACAAAGAAAAAATGAAAGAAATATAAATGTCCTTGAATCTGCCATTTCTCCTTCTGGTGTTGATTTATGGATAGACAAACCATCCTTTCTGATGTATCCAAAAAGAAAATGGATAGACACACCATAGGACAAGTCACTAACTCTCATCCAAACAGGCCACTGCATCTTTGAATCTGCCATTTCTTCTCCTGGTGTTGAATTACTGTTATGCATGTCAGCCAGTGATATTTGTCATACTGTGATGAATGGTATGCAATCCCCATGGAGGCAATATTTGATACTTCACTGATATTTTATCAAGCAAGAGACATGTTGGGGTCTTCTTCATCAGAGTCAAACTCAACCTGCAAGCAATTTATGAATCCATTGTTAGCATGGATGTGTTCATTCTGTTCATGACTACTTGGATTGAAACTTGGGTCAAGACTAATTACAAAGCATGCAATATTGTAAGTTTCTTATAAAACCATCCAACACTACAGTTTCATTTATAACAAAGCAACATGATTTTGGTACTGCATGGGTTCCTGAAGAAACTGGATGCCTTTGTATCTTTGACCATATGATACCACATTACCACATACTTAAACAATATGTTCTTCCATTCACTTTCACGGAAAGAATTATACAACTACTAATGACTATTCTATTTATAAATAAATTTCAATTGCACAACTTCACTTTCTTAATTCATGAATAAAAAAGTCAACGAGACAAAACATTCAGGACGCACGAGAAAAGAAAGTACTTATTTTGGCGGAAAATGGGTACGCAACCGCTTTTCCTTGCTGTTATGCATACATTTACTCAAACAACTCTTCCAAATAGATCCTAATACTCACATTCTCGTCTTTGAACCATCTACCATGGGCATCTCGCTTCCAGCCAGCAGCAGTAAACTTAAGCTCTCTCTCATGTCGTTCCGGATCATAAGCCGCGTGCTGGATGCCTTTATGTCGTGGAGCAACATCTGTTGGAACACACCCGTTACCATCACTAATTGACAGGCTTCTATAACATTGGAGCTCAGGCGGTTGACAGACGGGAGTTTGCTTAACATTTTCAGTTCTATGCATATCGGAAACAGCCCTTTTGGTGTTTTCGATCAGGCGTTTGCTTAAGGGCCTACATGGTCTGTGAGAATTATCAGTAGCATGGTCGGACAATGCGAATCTCTTGTTTATCTCGTCTTGTCTGGCTAGTTCTTTATCCTTGAGCCTCAACTCAGCAGCTCGATGGCGTAATCCTTTTAAATGAGCCTATAAGTAGGAATCTTAAACCATTAGAAGAGATACACACAATACTTGCAGAATTGTGGTTGCAGTATGACAGGTTTCACAAAAAGCCAATAGTTTCTTCTTGTGTACTAATCTAAGAAACATCATATCCATTCCAGAATCCAGACTACTGAATTAAATAAAGAATTAACAAAACAGACCTAGGAATCTAGAATTGAATTTGTAAAACATCACTGCAACACATAGCAATTAATCGGAATAAGATCCAATCAAGGGGAAATCGTGTTGCCGAATTGTATTGTTTTAAGTACTTACAGAGAGTACAGGGAGAGTGTCAAGGACGGGATTGTGAGGGCAAACAAGACATGAGAATTTGCCTGAGGATAGCTTCTTGTAAGCTGAAGCGTTGATGTTTCCTGCAATCAGATCGTCGACTCTTCTCTTCCTTTGCCCTGCTTCTCTCGCCCAGCTATCTCCTCCAAACACACTCATCCCAATGCGCTTCTTCTGGCTTCTGCTCGATCGCACTCTCTGATAGTCCGATTCCAACGAATTTTACGTGAATACTGAGATTGTCTATCAGAATTGAATGGTGGGTATAGGGGATTTTTGGTATTAAGAATACAATTACCAGGTTCAAAAGAATCATCCGAGTAAGAAGCTGTTCTGTTCGTCTTAATCTTATTACTTATTGCTTATTCTTATTTTATTCAGATTAGATCAGATCAGATCAGAAAAATTCAGATCAGATCAGATCAGATCAGAATCATTCAGATCAGATCAGAAACATTCAGATCAGATCAGAAACATTCAGATCAGATCAGGAACATTCAGATCAGATCAGGAACATTCAGATCAGATCAGGAACATTCAGATCAGATCAGGAACATTCAGATCAGATTAGGAACATTCAGATCAGATCAGAAAAGTTCAGACATGATTTTTCCCTTTTATTATAATAATAATTATAATAATATTAATAATAATAATAATAATAATAATAACAATTACTAATATAAGAAAAGTTCAGACATGATTTTTCCCTTTTATTATTATTATTATTATTATTATTATTATTATTATTCTTGTTGTAATTGTAATTATTATTATAATTACTATTCTTATTGATATTATTATTATCATTATCATTATTATTATTATTATTAATTTATTATTATTATTATTATTCTTGTTGTTATTGTAATTATTATTATATTTACTATTATTATTGATATTATTATTATTATTATCATCATCATTATTACTATGATTACTATGATTATTATTATTATGATATTTATTATTATCATGATTATTATTATTCTTATTACTATTATGGTTGTTCTTGTTATTGTTATTAGTATTTTATTTGTTATTATTATATTACACGGAGTAATTACAATTAAAATTATAGAAATAAATATTATAATTATAATTAAAATTAAAATTAAAATTATAAAAATAATTATAACTAAAAATATAATTACAATTATAATTATAGCTTTTTTTTGTTTACTCTAGGAGACGTCTGGGGGAGGGGGTCTGGGGGGGCCCTAAAGTAAACTAGGTTGAAACTCACCTCATTGAGTTTCGAACTCGAGACCTCCCATAAGGGAGAGTGAGTCGACGACCAGCTGAGCTGGACCGCTTCCTCTAATTATAGCTATATTTATAACTAGTGTAATACGTATAATAATAATTATACCTATTATAATTATTATAATTATAATTATAATTTTTTTATAATTGTGATTATAATTATAATTATATTTAAATTATATATGTGTAATTACATTTCTAATTATTATAATAAAAATTAAAATTACAATTATAATTTTAGAAATATTTAAATCAGACCAGATCAGAAGGATTCAGATCAGATCAGAAGGATTCAGATCAGATCAGAAACATTCAGATCAGATCAGGAACATTCAGATCAGATCAGGAACATTCAGATCAGATCAGGAACATTCAGATCAGATCAGGGACATTCAGATCAGATCAGAAAGATTCAGATAAGATCAGATCAGATCAGAAACATTCAGATCAGATCAGATCAGAACTTAAAAAATTCAGATCAGAAACATTCAGATCAGGTGAAGAGAACAACTTCTAAATCATTCCAGTAAAAGTGAAGTAGGAAATATACATGTACCTTAAATTGGCATGAAACATTCCTAATTTTAACACTTAATCTTTGTTTTTTTTTTAGATAATCTATTCACTAAATTCTCCACTTTTTTTTGTCCCTGATCAAAACCATACGTGGTGGGAGAAGCACCGGGGAACACCTCCATATTTTATTAAAAACAATTTTAAATACAAGGGAAATAAAGTATACCGGAAAACCATTTGAAAGTAGTCAAGGGAATTCCAAGGGAAACCGAGAATGATCTATTAAATTTGTTATGAAACTTTATAGCCTTCTGAAGATAGGGCTGGTATGTTCAGGCATACGGATGAGAAATGTCAAAATGCTTGAGAGCAGCTGCCAGATTATGCGGAGAGTCAAATCTTTCATCAACCGGGTAAATGAATTGTCCGACTCGTTTTGTGGTTTCTTGGAATTGCTTCAGGTGATCATTGGATGTGAACTATATCTCACGTGATAGAAAAATTGTGCATTTTATGTATCTTCGTTAGAAGGCTTTATGAGGTGTTGATTTTGTTTCTTCTGCTTTTAACCTGTGTAAAAGCCTTCTTGAATTTCCTCAACGGCATTAGTAGTATCTCTATGACTTGAAATAGAAACAGAAAAAAAGTTTTTGTGTCTACCCTCAGAATATTTATCATCACCGGACAATTTTGCGGCATGCGTAAGATCTGCGTTTAGTGTATCATCACTAAATTCTCCACTATTTTATACGTATTCGGTCAATTCAATTTTTACTGCAATCCAAGGAACTAAATTTCTCCACTATTTTATACGTTGGACTAAATTCTCCACGTCTTTAAACGCCCACTATTATGTCCAAAAATCTATCTTTCAAAGATATAGTTTAATTATTGTTTCTTCCCGTAACGTTTTGTGTTTTGTGTGTTGAATAACTGGTTTGACTTAAGTAAAATAACCAATTTAATATTATTATTGAGTTACATTGTCAATAAACAATTTCATTTATTTACATAAATGTGTTCATTATCGATTTAAAAATGTTGCCTAATAAAGGTTTTAATAGACAGCCTTGGGAAAGACTATTGTATTACAACTTGTTGCTTAAGCTAGATTTTTTATGACAAATTAAATTATGCTTTCGCTGTCTTTCAATTATGTCGTAAGTTAACATAATTTCACGATTGAATGATAAAGTCTATGAAGTCATAAATAAACAACTCTGGCTAACTAGAGTTTTTTCCTAAAATAATGTCAAATAAAAAATATTTCCCAAAATAAAGTTAGGTTAAAAGTATTTCCCAAAATATTGTTCCCCTAAACCCTGGTTAGGAGAGCCGCAGGAGGAAGAGAAATGAGATGAGGCCCCACCAATAAATGAAATCCCATTTTTATCTAAAACTGATATAACTTTTTTATTTGTACTCTGATTCTTATAAAAAAAAATATCAAAAGTCATAACTTTTTATTACCTTTCATAAGACACCAATATTCAATATATAAAAATATAAAAATAATTTAACACTTTTGAAATATTTTTGTAAATGTTATATTTTTTTATTTGTGCTCCAATTGTTACAAAAAATATATCTAAATTTATAACGTTTTTTTATCTTTCATATGACACCAATATTTGAAAATAAAATATCAGATTTTCATCCGCATTTGGTTGATACGAGGTCGAGGCTTCAGGCGGATCGTTAGATGGTTGTGGGGGGTTGAACTGAAAATATAACCAAAATCTTTCTGGAGTTTTTAGCAGTTTTGCAGGACTGAAAATGACTAGTTGAAAAAACTGTATAAATAAGTTGTACCGAATGACTTATAATCTTTCTGTATAATCTGTAAAAACGGTATAATCTTTCTGGAGTTTTATAAAAACCAAATGACTTTCTTAAAAACTGTATAAAAAATAGTTATAAAGGGATCTAAGAAAACAATGGGTAATATCATACCAGAATAGAAGTGCAAAAAAATAAACACTGCAAAATCAGCAGACTAGTTGAAATGTATCTGGCTTGATTGCTTGAAGAACATCATCCCAGTTCAAAGTCTAAGGGGAGAATGAATATATGTCATTCTGGAAGATAGAATCCAGAACAGGTGATGCTTGATGTTTTTACCACTGATAATTAAACAACTCAAATCCATAAAACCAACTTAAAATGAAGCAATTGAAATCCTTATGAACTTAAAAACAGTATCTACTCTACCATAAATTAAACAACTCAAATCCTTAAAACCAATAGAGCTCTAAAGTTAAACCAAGACCTTAGAAATCTGTTAGCATAAACATAAATGAACTAACAGAAATACAGCAATACGGGGCAATAACCAACTGAAATCCAACAATACCTTAAACCAAAACCTTAGAAATCAATTTAAAGTACAAGAAACATAATCCGAAATACATCATCCAAGTACAAAAAAAAACAGAATACATCATCCTGAATGATGTACACCATAACAACTGAACTGAAACCCAACATAAAGAAAATGAGCCATTCCAGACACCATCCCAGTGTATTCATGCATTGCTTGAAGGAGGGCAGGCATCCCCTGAGATTATTTGCGGACCTCAACCTGACCAGGACTTCTTCATAGCTTAGATTGGGAACCATGTAGTAAATGGCATCTATTGTGGAGTATTCCCCGCACTTCTTAGCCAACTCTTATAACCAAAACCAGCAAAGCTCATCTGCATCTACATCAAACGTCCTATATTCACCTCCCACGTATTGTAGTGATCCAATGGAGTTCTTCTTGAACACACCTCCATGCCATATGCGAAGACTAACATGAGTGTCATCTATAACCGAATAAGTCACCATGTTAACGATCAATATCATTCATATAATAAAACCTAACAAAAAAATAATTAACACCCGAAAGCAATATAGAAGACTGGGGAGGTGGGTATTCACTAATCCAACTAGTGTGCAATTTTGTTACACTGAATACAAAATACAGCACACAAAATGATTAGTTGGAGTCAAAGTAGGTGGGTATTCACTAATCCAACTAGTGTGCAATTGACGGCCTGATCATAATACATCATATACTTATAGTGAAAGTACAGCTGGGTATTCATTTATTCATAGGAAAAATAGTAAGTACAACAAACATTACAAGGGCACTAATAGCTTTTCACCTGAGAAGCTTCATTCAATAATTAAGCCTCCATGACACAGGGAGCAAGACTGTTTGGAGGCAGGTTGACACCGCCTCCCTTCACAGACAGGTTACTACAGGTGCTCTTCATTGGGCTGGGGAATGGGGGTGTCCGTATTTTTACTAATAATTTGAGATAAATCACCTAAACTACAAGAACCCTAATTTTCAGCCAAAATATGCATACATAAACACTACACACAACAATACTAAGAATTTGAGACAACTATCCTTAACATACAAGACTGAGGAATGGGGGTGACCGTTTTTTACTAAGAATTTGAGACATATCATCTAAACTACAAGAACCCTAATTTTCAGCCAAAATATGC